CATATTTTTGCCAAATTTCATCCAGTTTACTGTCATACTGTGTACTATTCAGCTATTTGATAAATGTAAATACAACATGGTTAAGCAGATATGGGTTTAGTATCTTTACTTAATGTGTTGTGTTTAGGAAGACATTCTTCATTCAATAAGAAAGGTAATTTGTTTTAAAAATGAAATAGTGGGTTGAATGTGCCAATAGATTTATCACTTTTCATATCAAATCTATCCTGGAATATAAATACTTCCTATAATATTCCTTCGGCATCCTATAGCAGCAGAGCTGATGAATTAAATGTGCACGATTACCTCAGTACATGTACATTTTAAGAACTTTGTGAAATTAACAGGTACATGAAAAAAGTGATAAATAAAGGATGAAGCCACTTCCTTGCTTTCACTGGTTTGAATCCCAAACAGCAATCTTTTTTTTTTTTTTTTTTTTTTTTTTCAGAGTGGTTCTTCCCTTCTTTTTTGAACATTCATTTGAAACCTTTGCAGTGTGCCAGTATAAAAAAAAAATATTGTGGAACATTTACACAATAAGCCAGTCACCCATCCTGTCATTTTCCACATCCCCATTGTAATTATTTGAAATCTTTATGCTTAAAGACGAGCTTTTCTCCCTCCCAACCCAAATTCTATTTTCGGAGTAGACTTGTAATTGTGTGTTTGTTAATATAGCTGTCTGTTGCCATGAACAAAGTGAGGTCACCAATTTTCTGTTACAGCTTTGCCACAGAGTTAAGGACTGTAAAACAGCTAGCATTTACTTGAATGCCCCATTTTTTGTTTCACATTGTTTTATTTTGTTTTGCTATCAATCCAAATGCTGTCTAGGGTAAATAACTGACATGAACTAACTCATATTTTGATAATCTGGAGTTATTCCTAATGTTATAGTTTCTATGTGACTTTTGTATTTAATATTCAATGCTCAGATGTTTCCATTTAAGACTTGGCAAGAATTTTCCTGGAAGTAAATTGAGAATTAATATGTATGAAGCATTTTTAAAATGTCTTATTTATCTAGCTTGGTGTTATATGCTATGAAAAAGTTCATCTGATTACACATTATGTTAATTGTAGCATCCAGTGCTCAAAAGGTTTATATTTTGGATTTATATTTATGTACTTCTAAAACTTCAGTAGAGTCCATACAGATCACTGCAATTTATTTTATCAATGTACCAAGAGTACTAAGGTTTATACTGACATTACAGTTTCTACTAACTCTGCTATTTTTGTCCACCTGTCTTAAAATTTTAGAATATTTTTTTGTAATTTGTATATCCCAGAATGGATGATTGAATTGAAAACATGAGGCAGATTCCCGGTAAGAATTGTCATGACTACCTTGAAGTCAGCAAGTTATGTCAGTATGACTGTGACAATTCAGAGCAGTCAATGGTTTGGCTCAGAACATCTATACATTTACAGTACAATGCATCCTTAGTAAACACATTATTTATAACTTGAAACTAACAGTTTCAACAAGGCTGAAGATTAACACAGAATCACCAACAGGAGCATAGAGAGAAAATGAGATTTATAATATGTAACGATATTTTTTGGAAAAGCTATTTCAGTCATTCCTGACCTAAACCCAACAGCATTAGAAAACATGAAAAAATTGTATAATTCATAGCAGATACATTTTGTTGATTTCTGTCATGACGAGATTTTTCCAGTTGCTATAAAGTAGATATCTGCTCTGAAGCCACCTTACACTTGTTTTGGTTTTGCCACATAATGATGTTCATTTTATGTGATAATAATGTGAGGAAAAATATATTTGTTTGCATGCTGAAATAAAGGCAATTAAGTCCCAGGATATAGGTACCTCACCCTGATCACCTTGTACTGGAAAAACAAACAAACAAACAAACAAACCAACAAACCCCCTTCATTTGAATAGAAATATTTTTTAAACAATAGTGCAAAATAAATAGACTATGCAGAGATGAGTTTGCCATGTTATTTAGGTTCTGTGAGCATATAAAAATACGTCCACATTTTGTCAAGATATCAGAGAAGCTGGACTAAGCAATTCCAGAATTGCTGAATACAGAATTCAGCATTTCAGGGGTCCCAGGGCGAAAACTGAAACAAAAGTTGAAACTATGTCTTTACGTACATTAGGAAGGATGTTAATGTGGGTGTATTTGCTGCTGTCTCTCTTGTGTCAATAGGTTACTTCTGCCTTAGCAGAAGCCACAGCTTCACTCACTCCATAGAGAGTTCAAACTCTCTCCTCCCTGGCTTCATACAGATGTAAGCCACATTATTTTACACACAGTTCAACTAAAAACATAAATCAGCCCCGGAGATCTTACAGATTGATCTGAAATTTAGCAATCTCATTGTCGTCTTTTTGATTAGGTATCAACTCAGGAAATGATTCTTAAGATTGAGTTTAGGCATATTTGAACACATGCTTAATTTTGAGTATTTGGCCAGGAGATTTTAAAAATCAGTATCTTGCTCTCTGGTTTAAGTTTTTTTTCACAGAATTTACAGTGTTACCAGGTGAGGCAAACACCACCATTTTGTGCCAGCAGTCAACATACTTCTAGCTCACTCTCCAATTAGACTTATGTACTACCAGGACACTGGAAAATACTGATAATAATTAATGAGGAAGAAATATTTACCATTAACACTATTCTCTTTGGTAATGTCTTTTTACTGACCTGTGATTCTGTCAAAGCAGTATGCAGAGTGCTGAGTTGTAAATTAAGGAGGGATTCAGTAGATTTAAGCCTTTAGCTAATTGTCTGATGACAACTGGGATTCTTACAAGTCTCCTGGCTTAAAATTAATGGGATTTTATGTTTTAAAGTGATTTAATAATTATAAATGGAAAATGTCATGGTGGAACAAAGTAGTATTGGTAGTAATGCTTTATTTATTATGTTTGTTTTGACATCTGATAGCCAAGACACCAGAATGAACAAATGCTTCAGATTTGTTTATCATCAATGAATGTCTTCATAGCCCAGCAGAAAACAAAACACATTTTTATTGTTACCTAATATTTTTACAATGCATGAAGCATATTTGCACTTAAAAGCTGACTGCTTTTATTATAATACAATAAATACACCTGCACAGAAGCTGCTAAGTCTTTGGCAGGTATGAATAATAATCTTAAAACCATTTAGAATAGGTGTAAATCTCATAGCTATATGCCTGATGTTTGTTTCCTCATTAGCAGAGATGATTTGAAAGGCAGATGTTCTTGAAAATCTGAGATACACCTCTAAACTCCCATATTGTTTGTACCTACAGATGAAATTAGAACTTCCTCCTATTGTCTTTGTCGTATGTCCCATCGTCCCTAACTGACGCATATTGTATAGTCTACTCATTTCAAGCAAGGCTATGGCGTTTTCAAGATGAAACTGTTTCTAAAACTAAAAAATGGCCGAAATCCAAAGATGATTATCGCCTCATCCATTCCTTCAGCGTTGCATGAGAGAATTTTCCATATCCCAGGAACACTTTCCATGGTCTATTCTTTGATTTTACATTAGCAATAGATGTTATGTTGACACTTTGTTATGTCTGAGATGAAGTTGTAAATTATCTTTAAAATAAATTTTAAAAAAGGGAAATATGATTCAATGACTACGACTTGATTTTAATGATTTTAAGTATCATTACTGCTGTAGATCTTATATATTACATTCAGATTGTAGCGCTCAAAGAAATCCTATGAGAAAGTAATTACATAAAATTTGGGATAAAGACAGGGAGTGTCCTAGTTTATTACTTAAGAAATAAATTTTTTAACAGAGCATGTATAACAATGTTGAAGGGAAATTACTATCTTTACGCTACTCTAACCACATCAGTTCAACTCTTACTTCATTACAGACAAAATATTTTATTTTTTTTTTAAAGTAATTGTGCTAACTGCCAGGAAACATGAATATTTGGGTGCATAGAAGATTTTACAAGTCAGATGAGAGTGAGAATGCCAGATGCGTGTAGAATAGCTAAGTTTTAATTGATGATCATTCAGGCATTCTCTCTACATTTGTAACAATACCAAAATAAAGATGTAGCCAAAACAATTGAGATTGACATACTTTATACTGAAGGGAAATAGCTTCTTCATGAACCATAGAATTAATCACTAATTCAATAATTCCAGGAGTTATGGGAAAGGGAACTTAGTTTGGGGATATATTAATCCATAATTATCAATAATGCAATTTCATGCACTTTTCTCTTTAATGTCATAAAATAGAAGACCACACTGCAGTATTATAAATGTGTACTCTTAGAGTATTTTTTTTTTTTTAATTTTTATTTTTCTTCTTTTCATGGACAATATAGTGTAAAGATTATATCATCTTTAGTTTGTGGGTATATCCCAAGTATTGATAAGAATAACACACATATGCATTTGTAAGAACATCTTATCTGAGTATTGGAATAGGTTGCCCAGGTAGGTTGTGGAGTCTACCTCCTCAGAGATATTCAAAAACCATCTAGACATGGTCCTGAGCAACTGGCTCTAGGTGTACCTGCTTGAGTGGGAGTTTGGACTGGGTGACCTCCAGAGGTCCCATGTAACCGCAACCATTCGGTGATTCTGTAATTCTGTAAGACAAGTAGTCCAGTAGTTCTAATTTCTAAAGTTCTAGATAGTGGTGACAATGGCTCCTTTTCTCCTCTACAGCTGTTTTCTTTATCTATCTCTAACAGACCTTTGCTTGCCACAAGTTTAGTTGATATATACACTTTTTTTGCCATGCAAAAAATCACCTTGAAAGGATTCAAAACTGTAGAGCTATATTTATGGTTGGGAAAGAGTTTATTGTGGTTTTTTTTTTGTTTGTTTGTTTGGTTGTTTTTTTTTGTTGTTGTTGTTGTTGGGTTTTTTTGTTTGTTTGTTTGTTTGTTTTTTTTTTCCCCCAAGATTTAGAGATGTGAAGTTTAATGGAAAGAAGCAATTGTATTTGAATTTAGTTGTATTCTCCACTCCTTTTCAGGGTGCGCAATGATTTTGATGTGCTTACAAACCGATTGATTGGCAGTCATGGCTATTGTACTCAGGTAAGTTATGAATGTCATCTGGGGGATGTCATACGCCTCTGCATGCAGAGCTGTGAACTGACCTCTGGGAAGAGAAAGCATTTCATAAAGTTCCTTATGTTTTTCCTTTTTCTCCATAATGTCAAGCACCTTCATCCATTATTCTTTTTTTTTTTCCCTGTGTTTTGGCATATTCTTGTCTCTACTTTCAGAACCTCTGCTTTTTGGCCTGGATTTCTGGTACACATGTGTCTGTACCTGTGTGCGTGTGTCCTCATACTCCTCTCATCTGCCTATTTTGAACTCCTTAGTTGATTTTAGTGCTGAGATACCGCTGAGACTTCAAGCTGAGTTTCCTCCCTGCCATTTCAGAAAGGTGACTGAGGTTGCATGTCCAATCGTACAGCTCCTCTGTAAGAGGTCACTGCCCAGCTAACTGAGCTAATGGTGACTGACGCTAACTGGTGCTTCAAACTGGAGACACCAACATATGATATACGTGTCTAAAAGATATTTGGTGCCTGAAAATAAACCATCTGAATTGCTGTCTGACACATAGGACCAAAAATTTATATAGTCTAAATTCCAGGTCATGTCCTGTACCAGATGTCTTCCACTGGCTGGCTCTAGGCCTGCAGAGGCATCCACTCAGTTGGAAACGCTTTGCCTTGGACATGTAGGTGGAATGTAGATACCAAAATTCTGGGACATGGATTCCCCCAAAGCTGTGATGTAGGAAGTTCAGAGGTCTGAATAGGGTCCACAGCCATTAAATGTACTGCCGTTTTGGCTGCAAAATGCAAATTGCATGTTCTTCTCTTGTACTGTTGCTGGGTGAACTTTATTCTGTGGTTATGGGGTGATTCCTCAAGAAGGTGGTGGAAAAACATGGGTGGATTAGAAGTCCTGAAAAAATCAGTAAGAACCTATAAACTTTGGAGAGTCCTTCTGGAGAAACACGGGGCTATAAATGTGTGGATTATTAATAAAATCATACATCAAGTCTGAACTGGCAATACCAGTGTTATTCATGTCTTCAGACACGGTATAATTTGGACTATTTTTTCTGGAAACTTTCTTCTTGTTATTTCCCCTCATGTTTCTTGACATATGTTATTTATTAATAGTTAGCTGGTTCATTGCTGCAGCACAGTCTGCTGGTAGGTATTGTTACATGCTGTTACATCCTAGATGGCCCTTGTGGGATCTTATGCTAAGTAAAATGTCTGGTGTCTCTGTTCCTTGAACTTTACACAGACTTGCATGTGCACATGCACACCCACCCACCCTCTCATGTATATTTAGCCTCTGACACACCTATATTTCTAGTTTAATTGGAGGGGAAATAATCAAGAATCTGCTATAGTAAGTATGAGTACATTAGTGATATGGGACAGATGTGAAGCCATATGAGACTTAAGTTCATCCAGAAATAATCAATGAGAAAAAAAATATTTTAAGAAATCTTGTCCAATGTACAAAATACGTCACTAAGAACATGCAGAAATATCAGATAGTACTGTACAGGCTTTTAATTTATATAATTCATGCTGTGGCTTTCATTGTAGAGAAGAAGGGACACAAAGATGTTTTAATTTAAAAAAAAAAAAAAACAGCACTAATATGAGAAGGTTGAGAGTTGGATGTAAGAGTAAATTGATTAGCAGTTTGCCTCTGGAAAGATGAACATTGAAAACTCTGCTAATATTTCCTCATTTTACTTTGGGAGTAGACTTTCCCCCAAATATCTGGAAAAAAATTTATAAGCAATCCTAACCCTCTAAATTTAAAGCCCCCACATAAATTAAGGGTCTGGTACATGTGTAACTTTATCAATCCTGAATCAATCTTGTACTGATGTCTGGTAGAGACAAGACGTTTAACTATTTTTTTTTTTTTAACCATGTCACAAACAGGAATTGGTGAACTTGCTTTTGACTGGCAAAGCTGTGTCCAATGTTTTCAACAATGAAATAGAGCTGGACTCTGGAAATGGCAATATCACAATTTTGAAAGGTATCACAAGCCGCAGTGATATTGGTTTGCTGTCTCTCTTTGAGCACTATGATGTTTGTCAGGTATGCTTTCCTTTCTTCTGATTTTAATTAAAAAGGAAACAATTACATTTAAAATTGGCTTGGAGTGAATATAGCAGCTAAGAAATTATGGGCTTGATTCAGTTGCTCACTGAGAGGCATCTAGTGCTGTTTTAGACACCCCAAGGCAGAGCATGGTCTCCCTTCTGGATGCAGGTTCTGCGTCACAACTGCCACCCCTTGGTGAATGACTTGGGTAGTCTACAGCATCTCAAATCTTACATGCCTGTGTCATTTTCTAACTGATCTCCTGAAGTGGGAGTCATCTTACAGAGTAACACACTGCTATTTAAGTGTATACATCTGTGTATGTGAACTAGGACCTTCTCAGTGCGGTCTGTGAGGTTGAAAGCTGTTCAGCTGACTAAACATAATTGTGTACTCTAGGCCAAGCTATACAAGTTCCCCTGATTGTATTCACTAAATCTCCACTGATTATAGTGTAGTTGAGACACCCAGCTCACATGTGGACACCTATATCTTAGTCCTGTATAGTTGTAGGTAAGCAACTGAATCTGGAGCTGAAACTCACCCTAAACATTCAGTTTTTCATGAGTTCCTATGTGATGGGGAGCCAGATTGACTGAATACTCTAATCCATTCTGTAATGGTAGTCAGTAGTAGCAGTAAAAAAAATAATAGACAATTAAAATATTCATCAATATAACTGGAATGCTCCCTTTAACATGTCTTTGAAATAAGTACTTTAACTGTAGTCATCATGAAAACACAAAGATTAAAATTTTCAAAGAAGTGACAGCCGTTAATTTACCTCTGGAAAAACTTTTATAAGGATTTCACTGGTTGTCTATCAACAGACATTGCCATCAAGATGGACATCTTTCCGAAAGACATGCTCTATCTTAAACAGACATTCTTGTGTTTGATACAAGAGTGTTATTTGAAATTCTCTTGCTTGTGTTAGGTGCTAGATTAGATAATTGTAAGAGTCCCATCTGGATTTTCAGTCAGTGCCTCTATAAAAAATTTGAAAGCGATTAGCAAAGGATTTGTTTGTACTGATCTAATATAGATGTGTGACTGAAAACAAAGCTTGATTTTAACTGTTTCCCATATGGCTAAATTCAGTTAAATTTTCCTACTACTGAAAAATTATAATTTTTGTTATTTTTAATTAAAACAATTCTTTACATTATTCACAAGATTATAATAAGACTTAAATTCAGTTGGGACAGCATATCAGTGTAACCGAATCAGATTAATTCAGAACAAACTGTACTAAAAATTAGCTTCTGTGTCTAGTTCAAGCTCCTTGCCCTTTTTCTATAAACAATGTAACATTTAAAACCTCAAAAATGGTTATGCACCACTGTAGCATTTTTTCCATTCTCTAGTGAGGAAAATGACTTCTAAGTAGCAAAATGGTAAGTGAGGTCAATGCAGGTAAGAGCTATTTTTTTCCCATCTGCCCTCTAAAAATAATACAAAAAGTTACCCACAGTATCTGACACTGTCTTCCACTTATTCTGCAAATTATATAGTGGAGGGGGGGTCTCTTTTTTCTGCTACTGTGCTCTTGCATGGGAGCTGAACTCATGAGCAGTGATCAGTTTTCCAAGACAGTGACTCTTAATCAGTTACAGAAACTCCAGTAGATGTAGTTTCCTTTTTTTTTTTTTTTTTTTTTTTCAGTCTATGCTAGTTAGGCATCTGATGCAAATTAGCTTTCTTTTTATTAAGAACATCTGCGAATGCTCCGCATTTCAGTCTGTATGTCCCAGTGCATTCTGCAATGCCTGCCTTAGGACTGGGACAAAAGTCAGATTCTGGTGGACTTTGGCCTCAAGTCTGGGGAGTCTCTGCTGTGGCTTCATCATGAGGGGCCAGATTCTGCTTTCTGTTAGAAAGATATAAGTTTAGAACAATTTAGAAAAAAATAAATGTCACTGATAGTTTGCAGTAGTGGAACTGAGCATAGCATTTGCCAGTAAGTCTTTCAAACTGAGTCTTTTCTTCCTCTCAGTGTTTCGGTAAGTAGATTCAGCATCCAATTACATTGTGGCTATGAGGATGGTAACTGAAACCAGTAATGGAAAAGGACTGTCATTTTTTGTTGTTTCTTTCTTTTTTTTTTTTTTTTTTTTGTTTTGTTTCCAGGAGTAAGAAAATCCTGAGCATGATGTATGGTGAATCACAGACATTAGAGTTAGAAAACTCCCTTTAGGTCATACCCAACCAATCTCTCAGGGGATAATTCGGGATATTTTTATGTCCTATTATATAGTAGGCTTTCTTTTAAAAATCTGTATCCATGAAGTTCCTGCCTTTTTGTTCAGATTGCTATTTATTAGTTGATTGTAATGCATATAACTGTGATCTTACCTTTTTTCTCACATATGTCTACTTTAATATATGAAGAAGTGCAAATACAGATTTACAGGTACCTGTGAATGTGGAGATTTTAATATGTACTACACAGTTTGTGCTTTGGATATACTAATATTAAATCTGACCATTGATTTACTTAGTTTCCTCTGATTATCATTCTTACTTCTAAACTAACCTGCCTCCTAAACAATTCATGCCCATCCGCTAGACATTTGCAAGCTGATGTAACAGTTCCTCCCTTTTTTCATCAGTACATCCTGTCCAAAGCTTATTTTTATTTCCCTACTCTAGACTTCTTCCAATTTACCAACACATTTAGGAAGAGATATGCAAGATTCCAGGACAGATGCAGTAAATCTACATGGAGAAATAGTTCTAAACAATTTCACCTCCCTTGTCTAATACGTGGAGTATTTGTATAAAATCTGCAATTTCCTTGGCACGTCTTCTGAGTTGAAAATATCATGAGGGCATGAGGATTGAACTAATCCTTCTGTCAAACTTCAACAGTAGCAAATCAAAAAAAAGTGATCAGTCCCTTCTTCTCCAGTGATCGTCCTCTGTTGTTGGTCCATTAATCTCTTTCAGAGGATCATGCTGAACGTGTTATCTTTGCTGATTAGGAAAATGTGTACTTCGTGTAATTTGTCTGGAATTGTTAATGTCTAATCATCACTCTTAGTCCTAACATATCAATACTGAGTATATTTTTGTAATGTAACTTGTTCCAAATTGTTTCACGATGACAGATGGATTCATTCAATCTATTTCATATGCAAACATTTAGTTCCATAGTGAGACTCTGTATTTTAATTTTAATGTGAAAAAGCTATAAGTCCTATTCTGCTACTTTTCGGTAGTCAAGTTACACATCTTTGGATTTCTTTTCTTTGAGCTAAGCCCTATTAATTCCATCTGATCTTACACATTTAACTAAGAAGACTAAATTCAGATTTTAGGTTTCCTGGGATTTCTGTAGGACATTTAAAGCAATAGAAACATTTTCAAAAGCTGGTCAGTCCACATCAAATTGGAGCAGGTTTTCCTCTGTTTAGCAGTAGTCCCAGGGAAGCTGAGTCATTTCTGCAGCAGTGACAAGACCTTCGAGAAAGAGGTGAGGCAAAGAAGAGGGCAGGGCCAATTACAGCAGTTGTGAGTGAGAAAGTCCTTGCATTTGGGTCAGAGTTTTTGGCCTAAAAAATTGCAGGTGAAAAAACTTTGAATGATGAAATGCTCTTTCCAAAACTTACTGTGATGCTAGAAGTAGTAACAGATGCTCCTCATATTTATACCACATAATTTAAGAGACTAAGAGCAACAAAAGGGAAAAACAATCTGCATTCTCATCTGAAAAATTTAAAAGATACTATTATCATTATAATCATTACTGTTATTATCATTAATAATTATAATAGTAACTATAACAATAATAATATCTAGTATTTACATATCATTTCCTATGTGTAGATCTGTGCTTTGCAAAAGAGGTAAGTATCACTACCAATTTACAGGAGAGGGTAACAGATGAACAAAAGTCAAAGTGCTTATCCCAGTAAGTAATCCAGTAATCTAGTGGCTGAACTGGGAAGAGAGTATGGGTGTTCTCAATCTCTCATTCTAAAGTTATTATGATTCTGGCTGATGAACTTGATACTCCTTCTGAAATGCTATTTTAAACCACTTTAGGTATGTGCTGTTGTACATGAAGTAATCAAAGTATTCAAGGTTTCTTGTCTCTTTGGAACCTTGACTCTGATTCTTCTTTGTCCTCACTGATTCTGCTTTTAACCTGTTCTACAAGAGTAGTTAAACCTCCTACCCTCTGACCTCCCAAACTTACTATACTCTAATTCTTGACAATGCCCAAGTCCCTGCCTGAGCTGTCAGCCTTTCAAGAGACTGATGCTTTTTAGTTTTTCCATTTCAGAAAATTAGGAGAGAACATGACATTGACAAAGAAGTTATGCTTATTTTTCCTATTTCTTTTCAAAAAGAGCAAGAAACATAAATAAACAGAATTTATTCATTAAAATTCCACAGATGGGAAATATTATCTTTGGTCCTTTTGATGAAACCAGCACACTCTGTCCTACAAAAAGACCTACTTGAATTCGTAAATTCAGCACACATGCTCTGTCTTCTGGCACCTCACCTGTTTATTTGCCCTGTGAAACATCCTCCTTATAACCTTCTTCGCTGGGAAATATGTCTGCTAAACAGGCGCCTTTCTCAGTCAGATGGACTGGATTCACGCCAGGTCATTGGTGGGATTGCAGAGGGGGAGGTTTAGAAAGAGGTTTTTTTACCATCTCATTTAAGAAACCAACAACAAAAATATGCATGTGCAAAATGGAAACTGATGGTTGGTTTTAATTTTCCACTTATTTTTCAGTAATGGGCATGTGGTAGGTATTGTGTTGCGCAGATGCATTCAGCAAGAGACCCTGCTATTTATGTAAGACATTTGTGAGTGCCACTGTGGGCACAAGCATGTGACACATACAAGTTTGCCTGAAGCAAGGCTGACAAAACATTGGCCATTTAAAAAATCTGTTCTTCATTCCTTGTTTTTACATCTACCTTTCTAGCTTGGAACTAAAATTTTCTTTAATGAAGTCCTATTACCCTACCTA